AAGTCCAACGCGAAGACGCGACGACGCGAAAACGCGATACCGTGACTACGTGATTCGATTGTTTAATTGCGCGATTTTAATTCGAATCATATTTACATGCCGTCGAAAGTCGAACGATAAAGCGGCGAACAAAATATATTTAAATTGAAATATTTTTGAAGAAATTATTTATCAAATTATTTCCCGATACTTGTAACCGCGTTTAAAAAATTTAACGGAGTATCTCGCACTGCTATCTTACTGCTCGAGTGTCGCCGTGCGAATAATAACATGTAGGAAAGGAATTTGAGCGTCTCGCCCCACTACAGTTCTATTCAAGTGTTGTTGTATGAATGATAACAAAGCCATGAACAATAGCGCGCCAATGTTTACGCCAAGGCCGAATACCATGTTAGGTATTGCTAATTCGCTGCCGAAATATTTTACGTACTATAAAATATATATGCAAAATGTTAAATTATATAAGTATTTTAAATTATGGATCAATTTATAATATTCAATTATTTATTTATTTATTAATATCAAATATTTGTTAAACGATTAATATATCACGGAGTTTATCGTTATGTTAATTAATGGATTTTACGATTCGATCATTTTATAGCACGGTCTTAATCCAAATTATATCTAGATCGTCGAAAAGTCAAATGATAAAGCATCGGACGAAATATAATTAAACTTTAAGTATTTTTAAAGAAATAATTATTGCTTATAAAAGGAGAGAAAGATCTTATTTACTTTTTACTTAATAAAATTAATAATATTACGAAACTTATCGTTAATTACTCGGACATGCGATTCGACTATTCTATTGCGCGTTCTCAATCCGAATCATATTTAAATCATCGAAAAATCGAACGATAAAGCATCGGACGAAATATAACTAAACTTCAAGTATTTTTAAAAAAATAATTATTACTTATAAAAGGAAAGAAAGATCGCGACAAAACAATAATTTACAATTTTGTTTCCTGTTACTTTGATTCTTAATTATATGTGTATACATCACGCGAAATACGCGCCTTGAGATTTATCGTTGCAATATAATTACGTATTATTTAAGGTAAAAGATAATTAATTATTAATCTTATCAAATTATTTCCAGATACTTGTCGCGATCGCGTTTAGAAAAGGAATTTTAAAGAGCGTCTCGCCTCACTACAGTTCTATTCAAGTGTCTTCGTATGAATGATAACAAAGCCATGATACGTTTACGCTGTTAACAATGTTTACGCGCGTCAATGTTTACGCCAAGGCCAAATATCATGTTAGGTATTGTTCTAATTCGCTGTCGAAATATTTTACTTATTATAAAATATATATGCAAAATATTAATTTACATAAATATTTTAAATTATAGATCAATTATTTATTAAATAATTAATGTATCGCGAAATTTATCGTTATATTAATTATTCAATTTTGCGATTCGATCGTTTTACAGCATATTCTTAATCCAAATTATACACTCATCAATTTTTTCGTATTTACAAATACAAATGATAAAGGTTTATTAAAACTATAGATGAGAGATTTAATGGAACAGCTTCAGCGTATTTATAACGATTTGGAAGACAGGAACGAAATTGCCATTATAGAGAAATACGGAAGGAACGCAAGATATTATACGGCAAGACTGATAAGTAAGGAATATTTTTTAATTTTCATTCCACTTAGCATTTTTAATAAATTAGCTGTTGAAGTTATCTTCACAGAAAAAATTTTGTATATTTTGCAAAGCATTAAATCAGCGCGTAAATTTCAATGTTGTAAAGATATATAGGAGTACAAAAGTACTCATTAATCAATTAATATTGTAGTATTTGCTGCTTGCAATCTATTTGTCTTCACAGATGTTCAAATGTGGCCGGACATCCTGCAAATTATTTCATCCACAAATACATCTCGACCACGTCAGTTGCAGGTTTTGACTGAATATTTTGTTGATCAAGAAAAATATTTCTATTATCTGCTACTACATATAAATGCAGCTATTTGTATAGAGCTTGTTTCACTTGTAGCGACAGAGACAATGCTCATCGCATATTTTCAATATATGTGCACAATGTTTACAATTGCTAGGTAAAACAATAAACACAAAAATTTAAAAAAAAATTAAATTAAAAGTTTTGTTTTCTCGTTTGGTACGAACCCAAAGATTTATTCTGCAAAATATATATTATAATGCAAAACTTAAATAATTTGTCTACTAGAAAATGAAATTTTTACTTATTCTATATATGCAATGTTATATAAAAATTTCTAAGCAATTAATTTTACAAGCTCTGCTTTGAAGAAGAAACTTTAAGTAATACTAAGATCAAACTACACTAACAATAAGAGAGAGAGAGAAAAAAGATATTTTATTTTTACTTTCATAATATTCAAATTTCTTAATTTTATATTTGTGTAATATTACGAATATGTGCTATGTGTTTTTATTGGACCGTGCTTACTTACTATTGTAGTACTAATTCTTCTAAATTATAATTATTCAACATTGCGAGATTATTATTTAAGCCATATCATTATATACATCGATAATAAATTATTTACAGTTATCGTATCGAGAAGGCAATAAAAATTCAAATATCGCAAGATATTATCAAGCATAACAAGAATTTAATAAGAATATAAGAAGTGCCATAGATATTCATCGAAAAGCCATGAAGATAGTATCTATTTTATATTACATGTGAAAAATATACTTAATAATATTTTATTGTATTTAAAGGTTGGGCATAAATATGATATCTAAATTTGAGATATCATTTTTCTTTTTGATAATATTTGGAGTAATGAATATTTTTCGTTTATGACACGCGCGCGCGCGCGTGTATATATATATATAATGAATAAAGTCACCACAAAACAAAAAGAGTATTTATTTATCAATACTATTCTTTTAATAACAATTCCTAATTGTTATTATTAAATAACTATCCTTAATAGTTATTATTAAATAACTATTCTTAATAGTTATTATTAGTTATTAGTTATTATAAACTTGTTTTTTTTTGCATGTGGGAATTTGGAAAAAAATGTGAACCCTTTGTTTAATAATTATTATAGTATAAAAAAGTTTTTAAATATTCATGAATGTTTAATGTGCGTTTAAAAAAGTGTAAAAAAATCTGTTTTTTTATTTTGATTCATATATGTGTATCGCTAGTGATTTAAAATCTGAAATTATGTTGATTATAAGTCTATAAATCAGTTTTTTTTAATTATGATATATTCAAATACACACACACTCACAGATTTTAGAGATCCATCTAATAATAGCAAACATATTTAATTTAAAAGAATTATAACATGAATAAAATTTCTTCTTTTATTTCTTTTTCAATTCTTTTACATTAAAAATATTTAATTTATAAAACTTATTTAATTATATTTCTTACAAAGCATACTTTAAACGATTTATAATTACAATACAATATAAGATTTAAGACAAAAATCTTTTATTTACCGCGTATTTTAACACACATATACATATACGTATTCTAATATATATTTTATATATATGTACATATTTTTCTTTTTTATAAATGTTTTTCATATTATATGATAAAATTATAAATAGAATTGCGTCTCAAATTTTTTCGCGAATTATGGATGATCTAAAAATTTGTAGTTTAAAATAAAATTATTGTACATATTTATTCAAAGATTGATATCAAATTGATCAAAGAGTCTCTAATTACGATTTAATATGGTATAGAAATGAGACACTATGATGTGATATAATATATAATTATATTACACGTCTCATTCTCGATAATAATAGGTAATGTAAACTGGGCTTTAGAAATTGATCTCTAATTGTATGTTAGATTTTTCAGATTGCATCATCAACATATAATGCTGACGAACTCTCAATATCCATTATAGTTGGATTTGTTAGTCTTTTATATATGTTCGTATAGCAAACCTTGTTGGACAAGAAATTACAGATCATTATAATTATTGCTGCGTAAGAAATATCGTAATTTATATATAGTCATATCGTTTTACGAACTTTAATAACGAAGATGAAAATTTATATAATACAGCAAATATACATACGTATATAATAACATATGCGGAAATTACTTACAGTTGTTATTTTTCTCGATTTATTTATTCTTTATCATGTATTATTGTTATGTATAGATATAAAATTTGATGGTATATAGCTCCACTAGACATAGAACAGCTGATACTGATTCTGATACAAAGAGGCAACAAGACTTTTGGCCTGTATATTGGTAGATTATTTATAACATCCATAAAAGGTTTTGCCACGGTAAAATTTTATATATTATGAAATATATTGAATGTGTTACAAATTTGAAAGAAACTAAATAAAAGCAATAGTTTAATCATTTTTCATTACAGCTAGCAAATGCATCTCTATCCTATTTTACAATCATGTATTCTGTACGACAATAACGTAAGTATATCAACTGAGATACTATACTGGAACAAACTTAATAAATGTATAAAAATGCAATTTATAATAAATGAGATAATATCTAACATTAACATTGATGCTGGTGCTGGTGATATACCTAACAGCTATATTCACATAATCTGACTACATCAAATTATTGTCGATGTGTCACATTATTCAAAAGCAACTAAATTTTAGAAAATGTTTTATTTAATTATTTCATTGTCGATAATAAATATATATTTATTTTTTACATTTAGCAAATGAGATAATACATGTAAATCTTTCTCATCAAGGATGTCATATATAGCTATTTTAATTAATAAAATATATTATATTTATATTTTTTATACCTTTGCATACAGACATACATCTAATATACACATAAATATACACACAACAAACATATTTCAATAAAATATCATGATTATAGATTTGATATGATTTATTTTCAAAATAATTAACAATTTCGCACAGATGTAGGGAGAGACAGTTCTGTATGATTTGATATCATTCCTATATACTTTATCGTACATATTTTGTTATCATGTAATATCCAATGTAGTAAATATATTCATATATATATATAATATTCACAAATTAGTTTACATTTTTGTGATCGCAAAATTTAATAAAATTTATAAAAATTATTTGTATAACAAAAACAGTTCTAGATACATATACATTATGTTCTCAGATTTTTCAGCATTTAACGTTCACTGTTCATCGCATCTCTATTTTTGCTTCCCAATCATCATTGAAGGCACTTGGAAATATTTGTAATATTATAATGGCCAATTAAACCGAAAGCACACACACAAATTGTATTTTGTAATAAATTTATAAATTTGTTATCATAAGTTCCTTTATACAAAATAATTATTACAAAAGACATTCGATCTGGAAACTCACGCGTACATATGATTATATCTATTGTTTTCTGTCTTAATAGTTATAATTATCTCTTAATTTTATCTGTTCTTTACATTTCTCTCGTCTGTTCTAATATTAGCTTCTTTTTAAAAATAGGCTTTTATCAAGATGAATCCAAATTATTTTCATCCTAAGTCTTGTTATTTTTATTGTTCAATGGACTAATAATTGCTTAATTATTTTATTTCTCTCTTCTTATCACTGTGTACGCCAGTGTACACTATATATCATTGAGCTCAATTATGATAAAACAACGCTTTATTGGCACACTTCGTATAATGAAATTGATGTACAAAATATATGTATATATAATAAAGATATATCTATATACAATAATTTAAAGTACATAGTTTTCTCAACAAATATCTTGCATATATCATAGATTGAAATTTATCAATCGTATATTGTATGATCAATATATTGTCTTCATATGTTTCATTCTTTTATCCTTTGATATGGTAAAATATCTTAATATCTAATTTTAAGTTATATGTACTATGAACCTTTGAGGTACTTAACGAGATGTAAATCTTTATTTTTAAAAATAATAACTTAACTCAGTGGCACTTTTTAGATGCACGTTGTTTAAAAAAGGCACTTTGAATTCCTATATCACAACTATACAAATTTTACCGCATATAAAGATATATCATATTAATACTATTAATACTATTATATAATTTCGTCTTTTTAAAAATAGCATAAATTTTTATCAATATCACTCATATCAAGTTAAAATCTGATTTTTAGTTATTTCATGCTACACATCAAACAAATATATCATGTGTTTAATATTTGATTTCTTTTATGTGAAACACAAGTTTTATATGATTTATGTTACTAATATAATATCAAGAAGCAAATTATGACACTTTTTTCATCGATCGACAATGAAATTAAACTCGTATTTTTCATAAATAGATCGGATCGTTATTATTGGATCATTTGCAAATATCTATTTTCTTCCAGCAAAGAGCTAAGCGAAGACGTCATGTCATTGACAACCATATTGGCGCTAGCTGGCAGAGGTTGCGGTAAAGATATAGGATGCGTCGAACTGGAGACGTTAGTTTCGTGAGTCTGCGCGTTGCCGGACCAATTCCTGCATTGTTGGACGTATTCCAATGTCCTGCGATAAGAATCTTGTCTCATACCTTGAGGTGGCTTCACCGGCGAGCCCTGCTGCGATTGACTAATATCCCTGCACTGTATTTCCGGTAATGGTCCGCCATGTTGATCGTGATAGCATTGATTTCCGTAAGACCATGGGCAATTACAATTATACTGTTGATGAGTCGAAAGATTGTTGCGCGCTTGACAATTATGTGCACAGGTCTGTTGTTGTTGCTGCTGCATTCTACAATTGGTCTGCTGAGCGTTGCAAAGCTGTGGTGACGTTCTCTTCGAGACACCACCGTCATTGACTTGACGATGCGCGCCACTGGGATGAACGCAGTTGGTGATTTGCAAGCAGGGTGTCGACTGTTGAGATTGCTGGCAGCTTGGAAGATTGGTCGCAAGTGTATTTATCGGTTTACTTTGATTCGGGAGATTCAACTGAGAACAATGTGGCGACATTGGACCGCATTGATTGGTCATCGAAGATTGTTGCGCAGAATGCATGTTGGATATCTGACCGTGACCGTTAGGCGTCACCATAGGCCTCGTGCATTGACCAGAAGACTGCGTACACTGCGTGTTCGGATGGGCAATGGTCGGTGGTGGATTGAGTATTGGCACGGTTGGTTGCGCGCAATGTGGCGACAATTGTTGACAGTTGTTAGCTGTTAGCCGCATTTGCATTGCGTGATTAGACGGCCCGCAAGTTTGGTTGGAATGATGATTGATTTGGCTAGGAGCGTTGCCGGTGCAGTTTGCGTTAACTTGACCGGCGCAATAATTCGGATAGTAAGCATGATGTGCATGATTCTGGGCACAATTTCTGGTGAGTTGGGCAGAGTTCTGGGGTAAGTTTTGGGGTGCGTGCTGCGGCGCCAACGCGCCAGCCGCAGGAGACGTCAGCGGTTGATCACTCAAGTGAGTCGAAGAATAGTGAGAACTCGGCGACATGACTTGCGCTGTGGCTGGGCTCGCCACTTGTCCGCCGGTGGCTTGGGACCCGTAATTTGGCGGCGGGCAATACTGCGACGAAGATTGAGTCGTGCGTGAGCTTGGACATTGACCGTACGGCGTAGCAGAAGAATTCGGGTAGTTCGGACATGGTTGTTGTGCGACTTGTTGGGTGGGATAGCAATTTTGTTGATGTGATTGATTGTAATTACACGTAGACTGCATCTGTCGCTGATAATGTAAAAGATTCGTGCATATCGGCGATTGACAAATCGGTAGAGGACTGCTGCGATAGCTAACTTGATTCCCACCTGCTTGAACCTATAACAGCGCAATAATTGATTTTGAAGTCAAAAGAAATCAATGTTAAAGAAATTTTACGAATCTAAGTAGATAAGGAATACGCTAATATGATTACCTGATTCAAATACTGCATCATCTCATCAGGAATAACCAGTTTGTTTTCTACCATTTCACCTTCACCCATCTCGTCTAGAATTACCTCTTGGTTGGGATGAAGCTCGGGTTGTAGCTCAGGCAACTGTGCCGATCTTGGCCTGGGAGGAATCGGAGGAGAAGTCCTCTGGGCCTGGTTACTGCGAATAGGTTCAGACATTCGCCGATCATTCGATGGTTGCGTACAATGACCGCTCGGATTGTTCCAGTCGCCTGGCATCGCCTGAATGTTCTGCGCATAGATGTCATATCGTTTAAAACTGTTTCCTGTCGTATTTGTGCATAATTTCGAAGCATGGAGCATACCTGAAGGGACATATTTTGCGTTTGAACAACGAGATTACTTGTCGAGTAAGGCCCTTGAAGATGACTCGGCGGATTAAGTCTGCCGGAAGTGGTGCTCATCTGACTGCTTCTTCTAGACGTACCAGGACTGATCGGATCGTAAAAACTTTCAGGTCCCGCGGGACCCATTCTTACGGCGCTAACGGCACTCGCTTGGCTGCTTCTTCTACTACCAAAATCTGTGGATTTCATACTGCCGTAATAAGTGCTGACGGTGCTACTGCTATCCCTTCGCGGCTCGCCGAGCGGTTGCAACCTCAGCTGGAGATCGGACAGACTCGTCTGCCGTGTCTGGCCACCGCCGCCCTCCATTTTCAGATCTGTGATCCTTCGATTGAGGTCGCCGATATTACCCTGAAGTGCGACACCGCGAATCCCTCGTACATTCGCTACGCCGATCGGCATATTCGGCACACCTTTAGCATTCAGTCTTCCTTTCAGACGATTCCTCGACACGGGCGCTTGCACTTGTTGTTGCTGCTGCGATTCCATACCACCTGCAACCTGCAAATAATCGATGTAATGTCATCTAAGAGAACAAATAACTGAGGAAAATTACTTTAAGACCTTACAAAAATCTTAAAATTTAAAGATCTATGCGTGATTCGGAGAGCAGTCCAAAAAACTCACCATGGCACGTATTGCTACAGGAAGATCGGCGATGTCTAGATCATCCGGTTCCTCGTTCCACGGTTCCTCGGCGAGAGCGATCCCGTCGCCGGTAAGAGCGCCTACTCCGGCGACCTCGTCGTTACAACCGCCTACCAACGGGCTGCCCTGTTGCTGCATTATACTGGGCGGACTGTTGGCTTCACTCTCGGACTTGACACTGGGGCTTGAGAGACTAGGCGTTTTCGGATGAAGATCCTCGCTTCTGCTGGGACTATGACCGCCTGCGCCGGCCTCGTCGCTGCCACCGCCATCACCACCGCCGCCTTTGTGCTTCTTGTTCGCGTAGAACTCGGCACCGTGAACGGTCTTGACGTGTTTTCGCAGCGACGACGGATCCGTGTACCGCTTGGTGCAACCAGGAGCTTTGCAAACGTACGGTTTCTGGCAGGAAATTGCGATAATGCGATTAAATAAAATTTTCTAGGTAATGATCGTTTGATATGCAGACATCAAAAAACAATCTGACGTATCTCTCGGCTATTGATATGTGAGTGAAGTACTATCTATCATTTATATATCTCTCTTATACAAAAACTTTATCCTGTTTAAATTTTCTTTCTTTCGTTATGGACAGTTGGAGAGAAAAAGGAAATGTGTGATACCTACCTCATTGGAGTGCGTTCTGTTTTGATGTTTCGCTCTGTCGCTGGCATTACTGAAAGCTTTGCTGCAACCTGGATATTCACAGGTATATGGTTTCTCACCGGTATGAGACCTGAGATGAGTCTTGAGATTTTCCAATCGCGAGTAAGCTTTGAAACAGCCCTCAAACTGTATCCAAGAAAGTATTTAATTAATTGTATATAATTACAATTACTGATAAGATAAGTTTTTATCTTAATTATTTTATCTTAATTACTTCTAAATATTAAATAGTTTAAGCACTATGACATATAAAAATAAATATATAAAAGAAAAACAATTCTCTTTGGGAAACTTTGTTTTGCTGAATTAGTACGCTGTTATTTTTATCGCATAATTTATCGAAGCAGATTCAAATGATTCAATCTTTTACTTTAGTCTAATTATTATAACGATATTCGCATTCTTATAGTTATTAACATTTTGACATAAGACGCGTCAATTTTCCCGCCTTCCGCGTCACGTGAACGCGCGTCAAAGTTAGTCGCGTGTCACGTGACTAAATTCAAACCATCGGTGATAATTCCATAGACATAGTATGTATAGATCGCGCGTAGTCTATCTTAACCATAAAACACAAATTGTATAGTCGCGTGCACAGAAAGATCAAGCGATCATTCGTTTAGTATAAAGAAAGTAGCAATGTTCTATACATTACATACTTGATTGGTTAATTTCTTTATACATATGCATTATGCGTCTATGCAAATTTGTCTGAATAGAAGTCTGTTTATCTTTTTTTAACTAGAGTAACATCGTTTCCATAATAACCATACATTTTACATTTTAAATTCTGAATTCAAACAGTGTCGAAAGTATCTAATATAGTAGTGAGTGATTATCTCGATATTTGAATTAATCCGCGCAATTGCGTTTAACGTTTCTCTTCTTCTCGATATTTGTAATCGGCGTCAAACCATTCGTTTCGCGTTTCGTCGATTTTTTCGCGCGGTGTATCTACTTTTCTGATATGCGCTCGTCTCGGATATTTTCATAGCATTTAGTTGCCCGATGACAGATTCACTCGTTCGGGGCATAAAGTAACGTCGAGAGGAAAAGCATCGAAGGACCATCAACAGATTAATCAAGACGGATGATCTCGCTCGCTCGCCTTGTCACGTCGCTACTCAGAATTTTCGCGCCGCACGCGTCACGCGTAACAATGGCCCGCGAGTACCGGATACATATACAGCCTTTCCTTTTAATATTCGAAGAGTTTCAACGCGTCAATTAATTTGCTCGATCGTGAGTCAATGATTGATATCGCCCGCGGAATTGCATCAGAAATTGCCGCATAATTCAACGAGCGGGTTTTAATACTCGCGAGTGTCATCACGAATGGCGTGAATGCATCGAGGAATATCGAGGAACATCGAAGGACGATCGTTGCAACGGATTAATCGAGCGAGAGGAATGTTGTTCGTTGACGCGACGATTTCAAGATAAGTATTTTCGGATTTATTCTTCTTGTAAATATAGAATTATTTTAATATTATATATTGGAGGGCAAAAATATTCTCTACTGCAGATACGCAAATGATAAATATGTATTTTTAAATTATCAGATATTTGTTTATTTAAAATGATTTTTTTAATAATTAGCAATAAATAAAACGTGTGTTGAATAGTAATATTTATGAGATTTCTTAAAGTCGTTTTGTTAACATTTGTACGCGTCAGAGTATATGTAATTGATTAATACAAGAAGCTTTCCCTCGTTCGGGAGAAACAAGTAGGTACTTTAACTTACGGTACACTTGTGAGGTTTTTCTCCCGTGTGTCTTCTCATGTGCACGACCAACATGTACTGAGCCTTGAAGGGTTTTTCCTCCCTCGAGCATTCCTCCCAACCGCAAACAAAGCTCTTCTTGTTGGCATGTATGTGATCATTGTTGATATGTTTCACGAGATCGTCCTGGTTTAAAGGAAGATGCACATGAATTAATACGAATAAGAATAAACAACATCTCTTAAAAGATATCATAGATAATGGTGTTATTGTTATGCCGTTGATTCTCCAAATAATTTAATAAATATTTTCTATTTAACAATAAGATTAATTTTGCTCATTAAACCGTTCTTTATTTTTAAAAAATCTTTGAAAAAAGAAATTATAATATAAAGAGATTATAATTATTCGTGTTATTCTTGATACTTATTAACATAGAGATAAAACATTAATAAATATTAACTGATAAAAGATTAGTAGACATTAATAAATAGACTATTTCTATTTTTTTTTTTTTTTTTTTTTTGCATATCTGTATCACCTGTGTAGGAAACTCGAGACCGCAGTCTCGCCAATGACAATTCGTCTCGATGAAGTCACCAGGTTCGTCTCTAAGATCTTCGCTCGGACTGAGACCTTGAGGATGGGTCGGTGGGGCGGTGGTCGTGGTCGTATTGGTGGTAGTTGTCGCTGGTTCCCTTTTGACTTTGGTGGCGGTCCGCCTTGACGAGGTGTCGTTTTCTGCTGTCACCGAGGGAGTCGATGATTCCGACGCTTTCCTACAAGACTCTGCACTCTGCACACGTAAAAAGGAAATGTTAAATAAAGATCACTCTCGATACTTGTTATTCTGGTGGAGCCCTCATTATTATAACCGAAATATAGCGTAGTTTTTTAATGAAAAATTGGATTTATAAATTTCAATCATTTATTAATAATTATATCGATTTATCGTAAATGCAAATCGCGTCGTGTGACAATACGTAATTAACACGTATTTATTAAAAAGCATTTATTTGTTCGATTGTTGCAAACTGTCACAAATTCTTCGTATTGCTTTCTCTCTCTCCCTCTTTCGTTCAGTCTTACTATGTACTCTGATATAGACGTAACTACAAATACCTGATCGTGCGCATGCAGGTTTCTCCACCTCTGCGCTCCACATTGATGCGTCGCGATTTACCAGCGATACAGGTTGACAGGCGATAAGTATTCAAGTATTGACTAAGCCATTCGAAAGCGGAATGATGGAAATCGAAATATGATAGAAAAATGTCACGTTTCTAATTTTATCATATTTAACTTTCTTAAGTATAATAAATTTTTTTCTTTATTTCTGCCTCTGTTGTTTAAAAATAGAAGTTATGTGGTTCAAGAATTACTCAAACCAGTTTTGCCAATAACTATTAATAATGAAAGAATAAAAATATCGTAATAAGTTTTCTGCTTTTAACGCGACATATTTCCGACCAAAAAAAGCAACAGATGAAACATAAGCCGTTGATATTTCAACGAATAATTTTTCCAAACGTAGCACCTTTGATATCTCACGATGATAATTTGGTTTTGCTTGTCCCATCTTTGATATCCAGAGTCTTTTTCATTATTAGTAGGATCGAAAAACTTTGAAACTGTGTCCGTCCTCCGCGTCGTTGTTAATAGGCAATCAGAAACCGGATATAAACATATGATTTATTTAATCTTATCGTATATCGCTCGGTCTTCTATAAAGTAAATATGAATCGAGAATTCTTCTTCGTTTACCGCGCGTTGCTACGAGGCACGAGCGCGACGACAAGAACAGAACACGACCACAGAGAGCAGAATGCAAGTCGATGCAAATCATGTCGGTAAACTTTACAGTGTGCGGACGCACGAGCGCGGGGGATAGAAAATGAAAACGCCGCGCTACGTCAGCGTGAGCGCGGATGCAAATAAATCAGTACGGGCCCCGTCGCGACGATGGCGGTAAAGAGAGAAGAACAAAGACGAGGAAGACGATGGTCGGAGTAAAAGAAGGAGGTAGGGATCGGCGGGAGGAAAAATAAAGGCGCGTGGGAGGGGAGGGGGACGGGGGTAGAATCGAGCGAAATAATGTGTGCGCGAGATTGCTTGTAACCCGAGGACCCTCTCGCGAGAGTAACCCAATCTTTTTCTCCGTCTTCCTCTCTCTCTCTCCCTCTTTCCTCTCATCTGTCTCCGTTGCTCAGCTTTGTCGCCGTCGTGGTTAACGAAGGCGAGCGATACGTGCGAAAGAGACAACGAAAGGGGAATGATTATTTATTCCCAATGAATATCGATGACGGGCCACCGAGCGTATATCGTACCTCTGTTCGCAATAACGGCTCGAATGGCACTCTCGGTCCAGCGTATCGCGACCTCCTTACTTTAGCACCCAACGTCTGTCGCGAGCGCGACGATACATTCGCATCTCGAGATAATCGATCGGGCAAAATCGCGGCCGAAACATAAGGACTTAATTGCACCCGGTACACAACGGGACGGTTACTCATTCTCCTTCGCTTACCTCGCTCTTCGGGGGCACCCCGACGTGCGGGCTCAGCGTCGCCGACGATGTGGAATGGGGCGGCACGCCGGGATACAATTGCGAATGGGGGGATAGTCCATGGGCGTGAGGGTGAGAATGAGGATGCGGCGGTGGTGGCGGGGGTGCAGGCGGCTGTAGGGGATGCGCGTGAGGTAAGAGCGCCGCCGCGGCCGCGCTCCTCAAAAGATGAGCCTGTAGCTGTTGCAGATGGGGCGTCATACCGGGATGCATGCCCAACGCCGGGCTCATGGCTGCGACATAATACAAATTTATTAATTATTGATACGTATGAGAGACTGTAGTAATTTATTGTGTAAATGCCTTTTTTCATAGTTATTTATCGTGATATTTATCTTACAATTATATAACGTCCGAAATGTAATTTTACAGCAGTAATAAAATTAAGATGAAAATCATTTTTGAGGAATACTTAGATACATATGAATATTCAGCGATTGATAAACATCTAATGCTTTAACGCTTTATATAATCGCTCTCGAATATGGCAACAATACCAGAATAATTGATAAACATCGAAATCGGACTGCATGTCCGTTCTCTTAACAGTCCGAGCACGACACGCCGGACTTCCGGTACGTAGACTAAGCTTGCATTTCAATCACGAGTCCCTGGTGGCTATTACAAAACCATCAAGTAACCGCGAAGAAACTATTACACTATGAATACATATGATAATGCATCCAATAAGCTCGTCTCTTATTGTTAGATGAATCCATCCATGCACGCGAGAATGTAACTTTATAAAAATTCTTTATATTAATAATATTTATCATTATTATTATCATTATTATAATCATCATAATTGTCACGTTTAAATTAAAAATAAAAATTATAAATAATCGGCGAATTTTGGCAAATATAATTTCTAGTTACACGTGGTGCAAATGTAAATTAAAGAGTGTAATTTGTGCGCGTATAGGATGAAAGTAAAATGAATAGGTAAAAATGACGAGAAGCTTGTGCGTAGTTCACAATAGCATACACAACGAAGACAAATTTAACGAGCGACTACATCCTGCGGTTATTCAACGATGCAACGCCGACAAACGACTGGCGTACTACGCCGCCTGAATTTTAATTCGTTAATTACTTCATTTAATCACAAATTACCGGGCGTTCTTAATTCGCGAGCAAGAGAACCTCCGCCTATATAATGACTTCATGTCCACCGGTACCTTGAACTCGTTGTTTATCGCCTTCGATCTTAAAGAACCAGATCATTAGAGCGATGTTCAATGTATATTTGCCTTTTATCATGAGCAGTTTTACCTAATTCATCGTCTAAATATTTAATACTTGTATCGAATTAGATTTGTCTCCTTCGAGAGATTTCGTCACAAAATTCATAAATATTTAATCATTTATAATTTTTATTCTTAATCCAAATATTTTGTATTTATGTGTGTGTGTGCTATGACAATTATAATAATAATAATAGCAAGTATCATTAATATATAAATATTTACAAAATTACATTTGAAATATATCTAAGAGGCGAATTTATTTGCGAACAAAGTTAGTTTCCTTCGTCGTAGGAGTTTTATAAGAAATAAAACTGTTTGAGTAGCTGCATCATATTTATTAGACTTAGACTAAGATGAAAAGAGAGTAATTCAATCTATTTTTTTTAAATTACTTACCGGCAGAAAGATGTCCATAACTTCCACTCGCGCTGCTACTTCGCGAACCGTTCACGATGGATGCTAAGCTGTTTGGGCTAAATCGAATCATGCTGTCGATGTCGAACCTGTCCGAATACGGTGAACTACTTAGCGCTCTTTTCCGACTTGCTCTGATTGCCGAGGCTCTCGGACTTCCTAGTCTCGACGATGCTGAAATTAATGTATCAAAATGAATTTAAACACACGCTTGTGGATGCAAATATACGATGAGGATGAAAAAAATTCAAGTTTTAAATCTCCAATTATTTTTTTCAATCTCGCTCACTCGCTATTTCTGTATCAAGCAGAGACTTAAGACGATTTACAAAATTTACAATTAATAATTATCACTATGAAATGTTAATATAGTTTTTCTCTCGGAACACGCATTTTTAGCATTTATCGCTGAGGTGGTAATCAGGTACGTAGGTAGAAAGAAGTCGAACGGAAGGTGGAGAAGATCCAGGAACGTTGGGCGCAGCAAGAAAGAAAGAGAGAGAGAAAAAAAGAGTCGAGGAGACCAGGGAGAGGGAGCTGATCTTGCGGCTTGAACGTTTTAGCGGCGATTTGCCTGCGACCGCAGCACAACGATGTAATATACAAACCACTTTCTTAAGAGCGCGGTGGCGGCTCGCTTGTACGTACCATCGTTGGTTACATGGTGGCGGTTATATGCTCTCTCTTCCTTCTCTCGACACGTCACTTCTCTCTCTCTCTCTCTCTCTCTCTCTCTTTCTCTCTCTCTCTCTTTTTCTCTCTTTCCCTCAGATTTCTTGCATTACCTTTGCAGGCAATACCCACGGGATTAAGCCGCGAGTGCTCTCCTCGCTTTCGTACTCCTTTTTCTTCCGTCTTATACCTGTTTCGTCTTTCTTTCTTTCTCATCTCTTCCCCTCCCCGCATCCTATCTAAGGAGCAACGCGATACACAGAAGACGAGCACGAAGAGCGAAGCTACCCTTCTCCTCAATTTCCACTTGGTTGATCGCTCGTTTGCGCACACAACGGGTATAGAGTTACTCGCAGTTGTGTGGAACTCGGCTCTTCTTTTTTGCGAAACCCGCGTCGCGTCGCGCCCAACCCGCACAAACGGTCTTCTCCTCTTTATCTCCCCCTCACCGGTTATTAATTCGGCCACTGATCAGATTTACACTGGGTCGACGCGACGGCAGCAGGCTCGATTGCCATGCGGTTTTTCCACACGATCTGAGACGATCGCGTGCTCAATGAGCGATTTATCGCCCGTTTGCTTTCTCACAGTCTTCCCTCTTAGTTAGCAAATTATATTTTAAAAAGGTTTGCAATTATATCGTCGTTTTTTCATTAATTAAAATAGAACGATGGTTAAAGCATAAGGAGATTTATCGAACGGTCAGGATTCTTTCTCGTCGTCTCTATGGGAATCGGATTCATCTCATCCGTCAGAACCAAAGGGTTGCTCTCCCAACGCGTTCGATCCCGCATCGTGTCCAGCAATTCTCGCCGAGTTTAATGAATATGCGAACGAAACCCTCGTACGTTCTTCTTACCCGGCTCGTCAGCCTTATCGTGGTTTCGTTTCCTCGCAAGCTGCAGGACCTCGACATGCTCAATAAGTCCCAGGTTCTTCTCTTCGCTCCCTCGCGCGTGCAGGTCGAACATGGGATTGAGACATGTAAATTGGTGCAATCGTCCATTCCGATCGGCGCGGCTCCTCCCATATACGGAGGATGTCACGGCGCTATATAGCGCTTTTCAAACGGCGCTTTCCTAAAGTATTTTAAAGTAGCTAAAGCGTTTAAACTCAAGGCGAGGATCAAGCGTTTCAATTTGAACCGTTCCATGATGGCTCGTCAGACACGTTCTTGTAATCAATCTCGTTATCATTCCCGCAGAAGGACGGCGAAAGATTTGAGTCTTTAATGTTTTAAGTCAATGATTTCGATGTTACGATGATTTCGATAAAAAAATTAAGCCTTTGATATTCCGCGATTGTGATTGTTGAGATACACGCACATACGTGTACGCATGCACAATCAAACGTGAAAATTTTGCATGAAGAGATCGAGTGAGGAGAAGATGATGAAGAGGGCGGGAAGACGAAATGTGAGACAACCTGTAGGGTAGGCGCTAAGGTGTTAATGAGGTCGTGTCGCTCCGAGTCGATTCAATTATGCGGCGGTGGCGGCTAACGAGGCCCCGTTTACCCTTTCGATCGTCTTTTAGCCTCTCGGCCGCTTAACCAGTCGATCTCCTACCTGCCGGTAGTGCCACTACATACACGGCTAGCCGCGGCACACATAACTCAAGTCGCACGTTAGAGAAATGCGTGAACCGTAGATATTAAAGGGGGACTCATATATTAGAGTATATCTTACCATCGATAGAGAACGGGAATTCGGACGAAGCGAGAGTGCTAGCAGGACCTGCCGCGTGTAACAGATACTCGGGCCCCAAACCACCCAGTCCTGAAAGTATATAAAAAAAAACATTATATTCGTGTAAGATCCTGACGAACGGACAACAAACATCATCTCAGTTTGCTCGAGAGGGAAGTAAAGCACGACCGGAACGGTTACCCTTTCGATCGTCTTTTAGCCTCTCGGCCGCTTAACCAGTCGATCTCCTACCTGCCGGTAGTGCCACTACATACACGGCTAGCCGCGGCACACATAACTCAAGTCGCACGTTAGAGAAATGCGTGAACCGTAGATATTAAAGGGGGACTCATATATTAGAGTATATCTTACCATCGATAGAGAACGGGAATTCGGACGAAGCGAGAGTGCTAGCAGGACCTGCCGCGTGTAACAGATACTCGGGCCCCAAACCACCCAGTCCTGAAAATATATAAAAAAAAACATTATTCGTGTAAGATCCTGACGAACGGACAACAAACATCATCTCAGTTTGCTCGAGAGGGAAGTAAAGCACGTCATTACCGGAACGGTAGATCACGCGCGATGGATCGAATTCAAAGACACTTTTGTACGCTAGAAGAGAGACTTCCGGCGGAAATGCGGGCCCCTTTTACGGGGTCCAACGTCGTTCATAGAGAAAGAGAGAAGGAGGGGAGAAAAATGTAACGGAGATAGGTCGTATGGTCTACAAGCACTTCTATTCGTGTATCCGAATAATTACCGTGTAACGAGGCGTTGGGACTGTGCGTGGAGGCTTGGAGCTGGTGGTAAAGATGGTCCATGTAGTTGATCCGGTACGCGGGATGCAGGGCCGTATGTTCCGAGAGGGGATGACTTCTGCGTAGAAAATCACCGCCGGAAGTCCCGTTGCCGGCAGACCCACCTCCTCCACCCCCGCCAGCGTTGTTACCGTTGCCTCCGTTGCCGTTACCGGATGTTCCGATCGCGGTGCTGCCGGACAATCTAAAAAAAAAAACAACAAAAAAACGTAAAAATCATTAAATTAATCCACTCGCTACTTAATAATAAGAGATCAAAATTGTTCGCAGAAACTGTAAAATAGATAAAATCGTCGATGATAAAAGCCTCCCTGTATGAGTACGTAGCTCTCATTAACAAAACGTATTTCTGGCGAGACGTTTATGATTTACAGCGAAAAGAGGGGGAAGAAAAACATTCTCGTTTGACGGATGAAATTACGACACGCTCCGTAGACGCGACAAATGGCGCGTGTCTCTTCGTCAAAGCTTCTATTCGCGTCGCTTCTTGACGCAGACAGGTGTCTTCCGTCAATGGCATGGTCCTATGATCAAAGTATAACTTTGTTCGCGGGGGGATAGAATAATGCGTTTTTGTTTGTCTCGTCCCTACTGAACGTCACAATGCGTGCGCTCGTTCACTTCGAGGAAAGGAACCGGGGTCCAGAAGATAAACGAACCGTCATGAGAGAGAGAGAGAGAGAGAGAGAGAGAGACGGCGCGTCTCGTTTTGAGTGATGGCAATTCGCCACGCTCGAAACATCGAGAAACGATGCGTGTCTGGTGCCTTCAAAGATCCTCTCGACGTCCGGGTTCTTCACCATCGGACTTCGCTGCTAACGGGAGTCTCGTGCGAACAAAATTGTGTCTTTCGAGCGCTCGCTTATGTCGCTTGTATTAAACGTTACAATATTAAATCAACGCGTGCTTCGAACTTACGAACCAATGTACATTGTACGACAACAGGTTCTTCGCTCTTTAACGCTTTAAAGAAATATAAATTACGAAGAGATCCGTTTGCAAAGCGCGAATTAGACAAGCGTTACCGAGACGACCGAAGGTCGAGACTACGAAGAGAGAGTAAAATTTTCTTCGCTGATCGTATCTCACGTTCAAGTGCAGAGGAGAAGCACAATGTAAAAAAAAAAATGCAATATTATTGAGAGACAAATATACAAAGATTTAATTAACCGACAGGGTGATTTATACGATGCGCCGCGGATGACAAAGTAAATAATACCATGGATGGAACAGAAACAGAGGTACGATTGGCGCGTGTCGTAACGTTTTAAGGCAGATTACGATGTTTGAGTCGGTCGCTGTCTAAATATTGGCTCCGCGCTTCCACGAGTTTGCTGAGTAAAGACAACCGGGTCGACTGTTTGACTTTGCTCAGTGTCCACGGATTTTGATTACTGTCTGTTGGCTACCCGTTTACAGTGGTCGACCGTGTTAAAACGTTTGTCGCGATACTCGTTGACAGGTCGATGGATCTCTCAATCCCGCATCGTTTCCGTGCTTCTAAAGACGTTAAAACTCTATAATATTATTTCAAATTAAGACATGTCAAATATTACATATGGATAAATAACTATGATATTAATTAAAATTTATGTAAAACTATAGAATCCCTTATAAGATTTCTCTATCACTCAATTGCGGCAAACGATCGTTTCCATTAGCAACATAATTATTTCTTCCCGCGAAGCGGCGACGGTATGACAAAAATTAGGGCGCTTTGACAGGCTGCTTAGTAGCAGATCCCATAAAAAAGTCGACTGAGAGAGAATCGGGAGGAACTGGGGACACCATTACAATGAAAACATCGTCGACTCTGCCGGATTTGGCACGCTCGTGTTCTTCGTTTTTTTCGCACCGGGAGAGAAATGGCCGAGAGAGAGAGACGGAATTTGAGAACGTTCGATGGAGGAAAAGAGAAGGAAACTATGAAAGAGAGAGAGAGAGAGAGAGAAAAGGAGAGAGAGAGAGCAAGCTGCGTCTATTTCCAATCCTGCTGACTGCCAGATGACTCGAGGTATGGTTCAGCCTCTGGTTGCTGTCCTTCCTTCCTTCCTTTTCTATTGCTTTTCTCCTTCCCCCTTCGCAGTCTCTGCTTTAAAAGCGCCTGTCACACTTTGCAAATTTTTAAAATATCCAGATCGGCGATATACAAATTCGATCTTTCCTTGCCGATAAAAGAGAATTATGATATAAAAAGATTCTAGAATTAAATTATTTTTTGCAGAAAATGTATTTTTCTCGGATGCAAGTATCAATCATTTCAGTATATTTGCATTTTACAATTGCACGAAAATATTCGAATCATTTCTTTGGATGGTTTGATGCTTAATCACACTCCATCAGATCCACACTCAGAAAATGCGTACGGTGCGAGAAAAGTTTTATTTTTTTCCCTGCCTCTTCTCACATCTTGCCGTCTCTCTTGTCTTTTCATTCTTCTTCGTTCCTGTCTCTCTCCAATCTCCGAAATTCTCTGTCGCACGCACATCCGCGTCCTTCTTCCACGTCATAGCTTCCCGTCCCCGCCGAAACAGCCCTCACCGACAGATAAAACTCGAGTCGTTAACTCGACACGCCGGAAACCGACGCATCTATCTTTATCTACGACCCGTCCGCCTCGGGAACTCAGGGGTCTTCTTGAAATTCTTACGGTCATCACGCTCGTTTCTTCTCAGCGATGTTCGGTAATGTCGTATTTCCGATTAAAAAGTTTTTCAAAGTGTAGACTGCCAAGGCCATTTTTTGTTCGTAATTTTTAGGCCGACGCAAAAGTCAAAAACATCTTATTAATAAGAAGTATAATTTATCGTGGTTCGGGTAATTTCGTAATAAATTAATTTCTTCTCCTCCGTACTTTTGCATACATCACAAAATTTATTGCTGAATTATCCGCACAGCAAAAGTACTTTAAAACTTATAATAGTTAGAATTATCGAATACTTAAGAATTTCTCTAGAAATTTTATCGGCGATAATTCGACCATCGCCGGCAGACACGCGACGTCTCGGTTGTTTTAATCTCGTGTGGAAGAAGGAGGAGGAGGAGAGGGAGAAGAGGGAACGACGGAGCCGGGTGAAGAATTAAGGTTCGCAAGCTCATTAACGTGACTCGTGGTAATGAGGCGAGCTAAGCGGTGCCCGGGAACATCTGCCCGGTTTCCCTGCTGCTCCTCGCGACTCGAAAAAGAAAGACGGAGAGCGCGACCGACGAAAAGAAGCTCGTGCAGAGGCCGAAACGGGGTAAAAGGATGCGACTTAAGCACACGAGCCGAAAGCCGATCAGCGCGATGTGGAAAGGCGAGAGATTTGGCCGTTACCGAACTTTATCCCTCTCTCTATACATCGATGTAAGATGACTCTTTATAATTTGCCGAATGAATATAATCCCCGTGACTCGTCAAAATTGACGACGCCCCATAATGAGAGATCTGTATCAATCTTTATAATCCTATGGAATCTTCGCTATTATAACTTGTATTATCGTGCGATCACATCAATGGTACAATTATTTGTACATTATCTAAAGCGCAATGGAGGAAGAGGTTGAATATGCGGCGTTTCTACGGAGGTTTCAATTTATAACATTTATTGCTGTGCCTTGCCGAACGCGTAGTGTTGCGAGAATGATAAAGAGAGGGAAGGAAACCATATGGCGGATTCTGTACAGCAGCACAAATGAACGCGCTTCAAACGAGCGCCGAAAAGAAAAGAGAAAGAAAAGATAAAGAGATAAAATGATCGAAGGAAAGATGGCACACATATATTGTACGTCGAGGGAATAATAATTTTTTAAATATTATCGTCAATCGCGTGCGGCAATATAGATTGTCTCTTTGGTAAATTATTGCGACAACTAAATTCAAAATTGATGCGATAAGCAACGGAAATGAACAATACCATTCACGTTCGTCTTTCTCGCGGATCTCCACGGTAGCTCATATAATCCAGTCGTTGATGTCGTTGTAGCTTAGCTGTGCCGATCCCGAGGTAATTTTTCGCAACTCTGCACACTCTTCGCGGGTGATCTATGGTCGCGATCCTGGCCCCGTGCCAGGATCGCGCTTTCTCGGCCGAGAGCGTCAACGACCAAGGCAAAACTTCTTAAGCTCGTACTACGAAAAGTCGTGAAACGAACGTCGTCGCGAACCTGGAGCTGGAATTATTTTCGATGGACACACAGATATAGTTCCACGCCTGGCGCTTAGGGGGTTAAGTCGTATAATCTTATATTTAGCACGCGTCTCTCTCTCTCGGACCCTTCGAGTTACCCTTATGCGAGCTCAACGAATCAAAGTAGATTTCTTGTGCAGCGTCATCGTTATACTGTCCCTGTGGGGGGTTTCAAAGACTTTTTTCTTTATTTACGAACTACATTTTTTTATAGAGATTATTTAATAAAAAAATATCGACAACCACTGTAACAGTTTAAAAACTAAAACGACAGAGTTCGGGAAATACATCAGGTCAATAAGATTACTCACTCGGGAATCGAACGATAGAAGCTTAGAATGTTTTCCAAATGAGTCTGGAACGCGGGGAAAACTCGACTGCGTTCGGGTAGAGCCTCGTTAATCAAGGTATTTACACGCGAGATCGGTCGCCAACCTATCGATATGCGAACCGTCGTCGCGAATCGATCGGAGCCGCGCCTTCGTTGCAAATCCGGCCTAACGGCGCTATACGTTCGCTCGTAGTGTTATTTATAGGCTATTCGAACGCTGCGTAGCGCGCGTCTCGCGTACGTGCGTTTAATTCATTTAAGCCGGAGATTCGTCCTCGGATACTTCGCCGAGGACAGACGGTGGCTGGTCATAAGTTATGCGCGAATTAGCGATCTCCGCTCTATTAGCACATCAGACTACTTTTTCTTTCATTGTCAGATTTAAATGTCGTCGCGGACGATAAATATATACCGCTCTATTTGACGCATATATATTTTATTGCATTTGCGAAAATAAAATTACTTACTTTATCACGCGACATCGAGAAATACAAGATCGCAAAAATCGTTATTATTTAAGTGAAGATTAGAAATTAAATAAATCAGATAATAAAATAAAGAAATATTAATTTATGTACATATGTAATACACGGTTCGACTTATCTCAGTTAAATTACCAGATTATTATCTTCCTCTTACTCTTACATTGAATTTCTCTACTCCAATGATGCGGTTAGTAATTTT